AGAGAGAGAGAGAGAGAGAGAGAGAGAGAGAGAGAGAGAGAGACTCTGTGTATCACAGGGCCTAGGCGGGGCAAGCGCCCTCTGAAGCCATCAAAGACAGGGTGGCTTTTTCCCCTCCTCCACCCTCCTCCCCAATAGATATAGCACGAATTTTTAATGCGTCTTCCTTTCACAGACAACAATACAGGGTTTGAAAGCCGGACACAATTTGGGTTTTGTGCGGGTCCCTCCTCGCGCTCCCTAGGCCCAGCTGGCCATATGGAATCCAGCATGGAGTCCGTGGATGACAAAGGGACCCAGTGACAGGCCCAACAAAACCCCAAGGAGACTTCTGCCTGACTCCGGGATTCACTGCCCGCGATAAGCGCGCTGAATGGTGCGGGTGGGGGCGGGGGCTTCTCCCTCTTCCCCTCTCTGTCCCCTGCGATCTTTTCTCTGTCCCTTTTTAATATGCACGCCTCTAACATCTCCAGCTCCCAGCTTTGCCATTGTGCGGTTTTGTGCAGTCCGCTGTAGATTGGGCGAAGATAGACTGCCAAAGCGAAGCCCGAGCGGGTTGCGCTCCCAGGGCGCTAGGGTTAGGGCCACACAGGTCTCCGCAGGCGCTTTTATTGACTCCACGGGGACCTGAGGACAGAGGGAGGCGGGCGCCGGGCCCACCTCCGGGATCCCGGGCCTTGTGAGCTCACAAATCCAGACCACAGGCTTGTGGGCCTCAACCCCTAGGCAGTGAAAACCTGAAAGTTTGGGCCTTCACACTCCTTGAAGGTCTGAGCTCTTATTATTGGCGGAAGACCTGGGCCTGGAACACTCAAAACCAACTTAGTCTTCCCAGGCTGCCCTTTGGGCCTCTTGACAACTCTGGGTATAGACTCCGAACCGAACCCCCGGAGACCTGAGGCCTAGGGGAAGTTGCACATGGGTTAGTTCCAGGGTAAGTTGAGCACCTGCCTTTTGCACAACAAATGATTGGAGAATTCTCTCGGATTTTACAAACTGCTAGACAAAACCCCAAACATTTCCAAGCTAGTGCATAGTACAAAGGGAGACTTTTCAGCATTTAGGAAAACTTCCCGCTTCCCAGGGCTGGACCTGAAGAAGGGAGAGAGCCTATAGTAGGATATTAGAAAGACTCCTGGGCCCCCGTGATCCAAGGGAACCTGCAGCAAGAAGGAAATAAAGCGTAACCGCATCCCTGCGCCTGTTGCGCAGAGTACTATTGACGCGCAGAATTGGTCACATGGATAATCATGTTTGCTTTAGATATTGAATTAAATCTGATCATCAACTGGAGGAGGGAGAGAAAAAAAAACAAAACAAACGGGGATTCTTCCAGTCGCCCGGCCTCCTCGCCTGCCTAGAATCGATACTGGAGCTCCACAGAGCACCATACAGTGTTTCCAAATAGGCTGACTTTCAATCTCCAGGCGTCTCAGAACGCCTGCTGGGCTCTGCCTTACAGAGCTCCGGGTGAGATAGAAGGGAAAGGTGCGCGGTCCCCAGTCTGCCTGTCTCCAGATGGCCCCTCCCCACCGCGGGGCCAAGTGTGCGCCAGCATCCGCCAAGGAGATCTAGAGACTAGTGTGGGGTGCAAACAGTTCTCCTGTAGAAGGAGGTGGGATGCAACCTCTCGCCGCCGGCCAGGAACTGTGTGCACTTTGCGCTCTTCCTTCCCCAGCCCTGGATGCCAGAGCCCCAGTTCATCTCCAACTTCTACTTTTAACCATTCACCCAGGACCGTACTCAAGAAGTAGAGTGGGATTGGGGGAGGGGGAACCTCTCGCACTCCAAACACTGGGATGGGAGAAGGCACAGGATCTGGTCCCAGGCAAGACGGTTGGAGACTAGGAAAAGACAGGAGGCCAGAAAGGGGCTCGGTTGCCTAGAATCCCCAGTGGCTCTCAGCTTGAAAGCGGGCACTTCCGAGAGTTGTGAGGAAGAAGCAGCAACCCCTTCTTCTGCGCCCAGGACCCGGTGTGTTGATCTTTCCAGGCAAAGCCTGGAGCTCTCCAAAATTAGCTCCCCACCCCTCACCGGGGGCCCAGGCCTCTAGGTCTTCAGGGTCCGCAAACATTGAAAAAGAGGTGGGGAGAAGACAGAAAGCCATCAGACTCAACCTCAGACCCCCTCCCCCTTTAGCACGAGGTAAATCAAATCCAACAAAGTGAAAGTCATGAAGTGTAGAGGCTTCAACAGCTTTTCAGGCTGAAGGAGCCACTCGTAGGTTTGGGCGAAGAGGGGGGCTTGCTCTCCTCGTTAGGCTTTGCCCAAAGTCACTTTTCCTGCCCCGTCGGGGGTTCAGACTCGCTCAAGCTCTGAGAGAGGCCCGCAAACGCAAGGATCATGACCGACTCTGACTCAACGGTTTGCAGGCACAGAGTCTGGCCCATCTGTCTGGATACCGCCTGTTCCGGATCTCTTCCAGCATCCCAGTATCCCGGTACCCCGGGCCTCCGGGCTGGGAGAGAACGCGGGGGTAAAAGCCCGGCATGTGACCCACCCAGGCTCTGGATTTGTAGCCACCCGCCCCTAGCAGGGCGACAAAGTCAAACAAACGGGAGGGCATGGATTGTTTTAAAATTTTTTTTAAACACATGATTTTTATTAAAATTCTTATTTTAAAAAATTGAAAGCTTTCAGCGCCTGGCCCTCTTAGGGAACCGCGCGAACCTGCTGGGCTCCAAGTTCCGGGGCTCAGGATCCGGAAACGGGGCCCGGGCTGCTCGCCTACACAACTTTTCCCTTTTCATAGTTGAAAAATGTTTGCACTGAACAAAATTTTTAAAAGAAAAGAAGAAAACGGAGGCAACTCAAATATAACACCCAAAACAAACCACAAAGAAAGAGTTGGGCCTGACCTGACTGGGACGCAGGCCCATCCCGAAGGTCATTTGGCAAGGATCACCAACGATATTTACAACGAAGAGCGAAATCTGCCACCAGTTGTCAGAACGTTTACATGGCCATAAATATTTAGCATTTTCTTATAAAAAAGAAGAAATCCTCTATATTTTAAAGTGGTCTCCACTTGCTTTAGAAGACGGCTGACAATATCGCTACTCACACAAACATATTTTACAAAATACACGAAAGCGGGGCGGGGTGGGGGTTGGTCTTTTCTCTTTTCAAGTGACGACGTTAACGTTGGGATGGTTTGGTCCCCCCCCCCCCCCAGGGAGAGGCAAAGAAGCGAAGCTGCGCAAACATTCTGTAAACACGGCTTAGAGTTCAACCCTCTCCAAAGGTTCAAAGAGAGAGAGAGATGGGGGCAGAGTCGGTGGATGTAATCTGCCACTACCAGGAGGCGCAGGCAACCTCCCAGTGCCTCCTCAAGCGAGCCGAGTCGACTCGACTCTATAATAACAATAATAATATAATAATAATAATAATAACCATCGTAAGGATGAGTTCTCCTCGCCGCCGCCGCCGGGGTGGGGCCAGGGCCTGGGACCTCGAGTCTCGGAGGGGTGGCGCTCACCAAGTCCATTGCTGGGCCTGGACCAGGGGGTGTGCTGTTGGGTACTGAGGGGTGCCGGCCGAACTGTACTGGGCGTTGTACTGCATGTGCTGCAGCGACTGGGCGCTGTAGGCCGAAAAGGGGATGCCTGCCTGGAAGGTGGCGGCGGCCAGGTCCTGGGCTTTGAGCGCATGGCATGGTTTGCCGTCCCTGACCAAGACAGGAACGGCCACCCGACGCGGCGAGGGCAGGGGCGTCACCTCCATACCTTTCTCCGCCCTTGCGCGCTTCATCTTGTAGCGGTGGTTCTGGAACCAGATCTTGACCTGCGTGGGAGTGAGGCGGATGAGGCTGGCCAGGTGCTCGCGCTCGGGCGCCGACAGGTACCGCTGCTGCCGGAAGCGCCGCTCCAGCTCGTAGGTCTGCGCCTTGGAGAAGAGCACGCGGCGCTTCCTCTTCTTGCCTGCGTCCCCCCCGCTGCCCGGGGTCTCCTTGTCATTGTCCGGGGACTCATCGGCCGAGGGCTCTGGGGACTTGGAGCTGGAGTCTTGTGGGGGAGCGCCGGCCGCCAGTCCGTGCACTGGGTGGGGTTGGGAGGAGAGAAGCGCATCAGACGCCCGCAGGACGAGTGCCGCCTAGGCCACCCGGAGCCCCAGGGATCCTCCATCCTTCTCTGGCCCTGGACAGCCCAGGCCTTTGCGGTGATCCCCGCCCTGCTCCGCGCGGGTGGAAGCAGTCGGGGTCTCCTAGGGTTCCGAGCAGAATCTGCGCAGTGGGGCCTGAGGCTCAAGTTTCTAGGGGTTCGCACAGTGTGGGTGAGAATTTAGTGCCTAGTAGAGCGTGGGCCATCTTTGAGGGTTAAGGGCTCCGGCCCCCTTAAGCCATTTCTTCTCTGGAGAGACGTGGGCAGATTTTTAAAAAGAAAAACCCCACAATCCCACCATTGATGGGCTTGGCCGGTTAAGGCAGGTTTGAGGGAGCTTTCGTTTTTTGATTTCCGGTTTTCTGGGCACCCTCGCGCCGCACAAAGCTCCTCTATGACCACACAGGGAGGAAGGGTGAGCTACTTATACCCGAAGCTGCCTCCACCCTCTACCGGTAGCGGGACCCAGATAGCTGGCCAGCTCCAGTGAACGAGGCCAATCCCTCTGGGCCATCAGAGTCCAGGGACTCCTGCCTGGGCCAAGAGTCCGGTTGACATCTGTAACCAGCCCTTGGAAAACATCTCTCTCCTCTACTGCTTCTAATTTCTCAGGTGGAAAAAAAACCCCATGACATCAAGTCTTTTGGGGTGTGTGTGTGGGGGAGTGTCTGGCTAGGAAGAAAGCGGGCATCCTAAGGAATTGTTTTAAAATCTAGGAGGACTTGGAGCTTAAATGGCTTCTTCCCTTGTCTGCCAGCGTACAGCCTCGGCAACGGAGGCAGTCACCGCCCTTATGGCCAAGTTTCGTACTTACGGGAGTATTGGAGGCCCTCGGTGCTGGCCAGCCACCGAGTGTAGGGGTTGTCGCTGCTGTCGTAGAAAGGGCTCTTCAGGGGCAGGCTCTGCACCGTGTCCAGGGCGCCCTGGCCCAGCGGTCCGGCCCTCTTGGCCGGCTCCGTCCCTTCGCTTTCTTCCTCCGGCCCCTCGGCCACCGAGCCTTCTTCATCGTTGGTGTCCGGCAGGTCCAAGATGTCCTTGACTGAAAACCCTGTCTTTGTGTTGGTCAGCGACATGGTTCCGGACCCCGCAATTTATGTCGCAAAGTTGTAGCTTCACTTGTCCAATTCGTGGCGCTCCCCAGCCCCGGCGGGCGGGGGAGGGGGGCTAAAGGACGGGAAGGGGGAGGGTTGGGGGGGATGGGCTTTAATTATTGGTATAATTATTATTTAAAAAGAGAAGGACACTGTGGGGAAAGGGAAAGGAAAAAATAAAGCCCACCGGGGCGTCTCTCTCTTCTCTGAAAGCACGCGGAAATGCTCACAGGGACTGACTGCCTGCGCGCCAAGCGCCGCCCGGCCTCAGTTTGTAACTCCAGGAGAGGTGCCAAGGTGCCGTCAGCTCGGGCTCCAGCGGCCGCTCCGCGCTCGGTGGCGGCTGGTGGCGAGGAAAAAATGGGCCATTGCCCGAGCGATCAGTCCATATAAGGCTGGGCTCCACTCACGAACCTGGGGAGGGGGGAAGGGGGAGAAAGAGGGAGGGAGAGAAAGAGAGAGGGAGGGAGGAGGATCGAGAGAGGAGCGAGAGAGGGGTGAAAAAAAAGGGGAAGAGACATTAAAAACGCCAAGGTTGGCCACGTGTGGGCGGGTCTTGGAAGTCAAGTGGATGAAGACAGTATTTGTAGATGTGAAATTGTGGGTTTTGGGGAGTTCTGCGCTCCCAGCCAACGGCCCTCTACAGCAAGATGAGAGGTGTAACGTGTCAATTAATTGCAAAGACGGGGGAGTCTTTTTTTTTTTTTGCCCAGTATTTACATACAAAGGACCACCGCGTCGCTCGCGAGTCCACACACTTGAAAGGACCGTTTTAACAAATTGCATCTTTAAGAAAGGGGGGGGGGTTGAGGGAGGGAGAGAAAACAAAACAGAAACTGGGAGAAGGAAAGAATTCTGTTTAACATTCACCAGTTCCTACCTCCCCGCCCCCAGCGCGCCCGCCCCCGCACTAGCTGGAAAATTGGCGATTTCTGGCGCCTTTGGAAAAGGGGGAGGGGGCAAAGGCTGAGCCGCGGAAATCTCTCCTTCCCATCGCTGGTGGTTCCCTAAACAAGATCCGGTTCAAATGGCAAGAGCCCAACTTCTGTAAGCCTCCTAGGTCAATATTTTGGTTGAAGCTTAAGGATAAGTGCTAGAAACGACCAGGCGGGTAATTGATTCTAGTTAATCGCGAAAGAGCTGGAAACCCAGGAGAGGAAGAGGCATGACCGGCCACAGCCACCTTCAAGGAACCCACCCCCTTCGGCCTCCTTTTATTTGCTAAAGATTCATTTTTCCCCCCCC